ACTGCCAACTTAATTAAATCCAGGTTCAATTAAAGTGTGGCCAACATTGAGGGCGTAATTATGAAGTGGGGAGATTCCAGGTGTGGGGGGGGGGGGGGGGGGGGGGGAGGTTGGGGAAGCATTCTGAGGCAAATCGCAAACTAATTGGAATTGAAATGTAAATGAAATATTTGCTTTAATATGATAGAAATCATTGATTTGGCAGGTCTGCAAGAAAAGTTGCACAACCTCAGTAGGTTTGCTTCTGGTTTGCCAGTGTGAGGTGCTTCCTCGATTGCTTCTTTGATCTGAAAGGTGAAAGCAGAGCCTGAACCACTTCTGCACAGCTCCCTGTGTTATTATGAGTGTCAGACCCTCTAATGGGAAACGTGCCTCTAATGAGGCGGACCCTGATGCCACTAGTATTTGCTTCCCTTCCAGGTAAAAGTAAATGTTCAGAATCCTTTGCATTCAGCAGAGAAACTTGTACATAATAACAAGGGCATTCCCAATTTGTAAACTTATCTAGGTTGATTCAAGTTCTGCCCATTCAGAAGGATTGCAAGAATTATTATTATTATTATTATTATTGTTATTATCTGCGTGGCAGCCAAATTATCCACTGTCCTGAGTGGGTAGAATGAAACAACTCTAACGTTTTCATTTGAATGTATTTGGAAAGAAAAATATTAACCACATGCCCTTATTGAAATATAGATAACTTGAAGATTTGAGCGGAGAGCAAACAATGTAGTGTGCAACAACCGCAGCATTTTGCAGATGGAGAGCAGTATCTTCCTGAACTGAAATTGTTCTTCCAGTTTCCTTGTCCACGATTCCTGCTATACTGTTGGGCTGGGAAGCAGCTCCTTTGGAGCTTGATAAAGAGCGCCACCTCGTGGTATTAAACATTTCACGAAAATAGCCTAGTGCTGTATTAGTTATAATTCTATAAATTATCTTTATCTTTAGAAATTAGCTTATACTGGACCGATAACGATATTTCCCCTCAACAGGTGGGATGTCCATCTCGGTTAGGGGTGGGGGGCTGGTGGTATGATTAATTTGTTGTCCTGGAATCTATTTCAGTGTCCATCTGTGACAAGAGCATTTATGGGAAATCTAATCAGTTTTTAAAAATAAATGGATTCAGTTTGTTCTTGGAAACGATTTTAAAACCAGTTGGGAGTCCGATCCAAAGGTGATCCTTTGATCCATAATATGTTTCACTGTATTGTAATTTATATGGAATGGTGGGGAATTAGTGGGATTTTTATATAGTGTTCTGGAAATCTGCCATGCAGAAACCCATCACCAACTACATACACATGACTTTCGTTTGTCCATTGAAGAGCGCCTACTCCTGGAGAGTTAAGATACAGGTTTGCAAGATCCAAGGTTTGGAACCCCAGAGGATGTTGTGCACTGGGATACTACTGGTGCAGCTTAATCAGCAAAAAAACGTGCAGCCGACCATTGCAAAGCACTGGTACACTCTCCACTGTCTGTCCAGCGAGGATCATCCCACCTAATTGGGCTTTGGTTTCGGGGTTATCTGGAGTTGAGTAAAAAGAATCCGAGCCACAAGTCTTCCAATGAACCTGCCTGGTTGGCCATCATGAACAATACCCTAGGACTTGCCTGACTCAGATATTAGACTACTTTGACTGCCACAGAGGATTGACTCAATTCCAATCTTCCATTATTGGGCATACCACCTTGGAACTAACAACTTCAAAGAGACCTATGTACTTACCCCACTGGACTGCCATTAGATATGGTCATTAGATATCTGATAAGCAGGTTTGAAGTCTCCCTTGGTGGGTAGTAGGTCCCAGGCAAGCAACAGCAAAAAATCAGTATATAAGGTATGCATGCATTGCCAACCCGTTCTCCTGACCACAACCAGATGACATCAGTACCCATTGAGTGGTGATTTCACTAGTTGGAGATGCAGAGCTTCAGCAGCAGCTGCTGACCTCTCTGCACATCTGTCATGAAAGACAGAAAGATTCACCATAATTGTGCTTTAATTGATTATTTCATTTTGATGCTTGTTTTTTTTATTGGGGACAAACGGTAATAGTTTTATCAATAAACAGATGGCATAGAAAGCTATAGTTCAAAATGGAATAATATACACAGAGGGTACAATTATTGTGAATGTCTCAAAGTGCTTCACAGAATATACTGTAAAGTGAATTGACTATATTTGTGGGCAGAACTGTCTTTTGTAATCTAATGCAGCGCAGTCCAATTGCGCACAGCAATGTTCCTCAAACAGCCATGAAACTTTAGTTATTCTGGGATCATGTCTAAGTTTGGACCAGACTAATATTTTAACAAAATCCTGCTGTACTTAAGAAAACCATATCATTAGTTCTATGCAGCGCATAAATACAGCAATGCGCCACAAAGCAAGTTCTTAGTTAGTAGAAGGCAGTACAGTATCAATGGCAAGCTGTGCGGTGTTAGCTGGTTAGATTCCAGCAGTACCTCAACACACACTCTGGGGCCCCCAAGCCTTGGTTCTTGCCAACCTGCGCCTAATACTTTCCGAAATTAGGTAAGCAGGATGTGTCCCTCCAGGGAGAGAGTGCGCATTCAATTCCAACAATCTAACTGGGATTTCCAAGTGTAGGTGGGATGCATGGAGTTCTCAGTTTGGATACTCTTAAGCACGGTGATGGGTTTCTTTCTGCATGAATCAGACACCCGGCAAAATTATTTTTATTCAAAAAATAATTTCGATAACAAGATTTGTTTTAGTTTCAGCACCTTGGGACGTCCTCCCGACATGAAAGGCGCTATACAAATGTAATTTTGTTCTTGTTGTTGTAGTTATTGCAGACTTATGTCATACTATTCTAGACAATCGCACTGGTAATGTTAGAGGTGAATCCTAAACAAAATAAATGTTTGAAGAGTTGAGTTCTCTAGTTTTCTGGATCAATAAATGTCTGGCGTGTGTGCTATGTTTATCTCTCTGAGGTCCATTTGCTCTCCAGGTGGATGGCCATCATTGTAATCATTTTTCCCAAACTAAGCCAGTGGATTTTAGATTCAGCAAATATGAATGAGAGACAGAGAGAGACAGACAGACAGAGAGAGAGAGATCTGTATTACACCCCCCCCCCCAACCCCCATTTTAGTTCACCTATCTTGAAAAATGAAAAATAATAATAATGCTTGCATGTGATATAGCGCCTTATCACGTCTTCGAGACGTCTTCAAAGCGCTTCACAGAATATACTGTAAAGTTAATTGACTGTGTAGTTTGTGGGCGAAAAACTGAAGGAAAGTGAGTGATAATGACATGGGCTACCTGCATAATCCACTATGGTTAGCAGAAACTATATCTTTGCACTGCGCCTGGAACTGACAGAATAACTGGAGGACGCAACCGCGAACAGTTTGTTCGTATTTGCCTTGCAATACAATCCTGCTTTTTTATAATCTGGGTCTTATCGTAGTTTCTTTGCAAAAATCAATAGAAATCGGTGCACGCAAAATACCTTATCTGTCTCGTATATCTATTAAGATTACATGATAAGAGGGTTTTTTTCTTCTGCAAGTTGTGATTTCCAAGAGGAAGAGAGAGAGAGAGAGAGAGAGAGAGGGGGGTGGGGGGCAGAGTTAAAACACATGCCAGATCTTTTTGAAGGGGGATGTGAATGCTGAGTGGCTTTGGTGTTGCAAGACGCCAGGCTATTTCCGAAGTGTCTCTGAATGATAATACGATGCCATTAAGTGAGTCTCTGCAGTCTGTGCTTTCATCGTCCCAGGACCCCCACCGCCCCCCCACCTTTGGCCACAAGTCGGGAACTTCCACACCGAATGCAAACTTCCTCTCCGATGTTTCAAACACCGACCCGCTCCAGTTATTCGGAAAGTTATGATGTCGCTCTCTCTTTTATTTCTCTCTTCGTGTTTAATTTGGGGAAAAAGATCTACAATTGCAACCGGCTTTAAAAACGTCTTATTTTGACGTTGTTGCATTCTGTGGCACTGCCTAAAACATGTAAAATGAAACCACAAACGCTGTCAGAGGATTTGGGTTACAATGTTTAGTTGCATACAACGCTAATCCACTAACACGCGATTCACTTTATGAAATCGTGCTATAAGTGTGTTAGAAAGTCGTCGATCTGTTGGATGATCCAATCCTATTACCCAAACCAGACAGATATCAAATAGCTCAGTCCACTCGGATGGTCCAGTGGGTTATCGACGCCACATTTCTGTTCTGCTCGTTGAACTGTGCAACAGATGGGAATCCTCTTCCTGGACGGGCTGTGGTATGTTGAGGGTATCATCCTCCTACCCCCAGGACACCGTGTTTGTACAGCCTACGATCTGCATCCATTTGGTGTTTAGTTAACACTGGTGGTCGCGACCTGCTCGGAAGGAGAGCTTTGGTACTGTTGGCTGCTGCTACCGCTGAAAGCTCCAGCTTCTCCCCCCCCCTCTCCCTCTCTCTCTCTCTCCCCCCTCCCCTCTCCTCCCCCTCTCACCCCCCACCGCAAATCCGGAACCAGGTTATACAGTTTTCCTACGTTTTCCGAACAGCTTTCTCCCTCCCTTCCTTCCAGACCCCGCGGGGGGAAACATCGGGATGATAGGAAAAAGGACGTCTCTTCTGCTGAGCGTTTAAATGAAATCAAACCGACTGACTGCAGTGACCAAAAAAAACTTCCCACAACTTGTGTGTGTGTGTGTGTGTGTGTGAGACTGTCTCTGACCAATCGGGAGGAGGACACCGACCCTCTCTCACACACACACACACAAAAAAAACCCCACTATTGTCTTTAATAAGAGAATCGCTGGGATTCAGTCACTGGGGATTCAGTCAGACACTGCGCTCAGAATCTGCAAACAAGAAGTCGGGATAGTCCGTCTCTATAGATTTTTTAAATTTATATATCTTTTTTTATATAGAAAAAAACCAGTGTGTAGGGCTGGTGTCCTGGATGAGTTTTGATGGGAGTAGTTGGTTGACTGGCTTTGGATTTTATTTACAGAGGACAGCTGCGGTGCGATTGCTGGCTCAAGGGGTCCTGCATGCGGGTTGCACCCCGGCCAGGCTCACTATGACCGGGCTTCAGGTGCTGTTGGCTGCCGCTATCCTCTCCAGTTGCTCTCAGTGTCTGGTACAAGCCAATTCTTGGTGGTGAGTAAGTCCCGAAACCCCGTTACTCCAGTGAGCACTGGCGGAAACTTTTCATCTCGGTTTTAGCAATGCAACGATTCAACACCGGGCTCTCAGGCTTCAGAGTTACACAGTCAATATAACCCGAACATCAGCTGCACACCGTATACTGCGTTGTATTCGGTTGCATTCACTTTATAACGTGATAGATTGTTATGAACTTCACGATGTTACATTATTATGATGAGTCGTCACACGACACTTTTTTTTGGGGGGGAGAGAAACATCTTTGCCACTGATGCGGTTGTGATGGAGTTATTAATGGTTACGATTCTGAAGTCATTGGGTGAGGTTTAAGCCCGTGAAGGCAATGGCTCGTGTAGCAATTATAATGTTGAATGTAGGACATTTCTGTGCGTTTCGTTAAAGAAAAACACTCCCAGGCACAATAACAGATACACTGACATTTGAAGTCTTTGCTGTTTTGTTTAACTATAAAACTCTTTGGTTCAAAAAAACTCTCCCTCCTTCCCCTCACCACCCACACACAGAGTATATGAACACGTCCTCTCACATGTGTTTATGTGTATTGTGTAACACAAGGAATACATATGCACACATCACAGTGCCGACTTTCTCGAATTGCAGCCATATGATCCACATACCTTTCTCCCAGTGTCTGGGATTTAGTAGCGATTATATATATATATACCTAGAAAAATGTCGTAGTTTTGTCAAAAGTTGTTTTTTTTAAAAAAGTGGAATATGCACCACAACGCTCTTTTGTTTCTTGATTAAATTAAACGACATTTATACATCTCTGGGTTTATGAAGCGAATTGCATTATTGTACGACACCGAACAAAAGTGATCTGAGTGAATTCCACGGGTGGCACATTGCTCAATGTAACTGGTTTCTAATACCTCGGCAGTTAACAGGACCGTTTATAAAATGGTCATGTCTGTAAATATAATTTTCGAGATAGAGACAGAGAGATAAATGGGGGTGGGGACCATATACTGATAAAATGACCTGATTTTCCCTTTTCTCCATTGAAGTTGCTTAATAACTTTTCTTTGTAATCAATTGCAATTCTCAGGTCCCTGGCTATGAACCCTATCCAAAGACCCGAGATGTATATCATTGGAGCCCAGCCTCTCTGCAGTCAATTGACTGGCTTGTCCCAGGGCCAGAGGAAACTGTGTCAGTTGTACCAGGATCATATGGTTTTCATTGGAGAAGGGGCAAAAACCGGGATCAAGGAATGCCAATACCAGTTCAGACAGAGGCGATGGAACTGCAGTACAGTGGACAACACCTCCGTCTTTGGGAGGGTGATGCAAATAGGTGAGAATGTTCTATTGAGACCCTTCTTCCAACGCACACACACACACACACACAAAAAAAAATGCTACGGTGGATCATAACAAAGGTTTAACACCTAAGTGTCAGATCCGCTTTGTTCCTCCTCCTTCAGAAAAAAAGGAGCAGCCCAACCTTTTTTTTTACCCCCTAAAGCACAGCTCGGCTGGTCATTTGTGGTTGTTGCCTTGGTTTATGGCGAGGTGTTACCTTGTGCATTGTCCCGGGCTTTTTGAAATTCAATTATCTGGTGACAAGGGGTCGAGAAATCCGGGGTCGGATTGATGTTTCCGACCCCGCAGCACAATAAATTGTAGCGTTAGAGCCAGAGGACTGGAGAGTGGAGCTGCGATCCATATGCACAGCAGATGGATAGGGGCGTTTGGCCAGAGTTTGCAAGACTTCTTCTTTCCCTGGGCTGTTTGTCTTTTTTTTTGGAGGGGTGGGGATTCTTGGGGAGTTTACCTACTTCTCTTTATTGGAATAAGACTTTTCACACGTTTGCCAGGACAGGAGAATTTATCTGGACATTAAAAAAGGGGATGATCCAGCAATGCTGCTCGTTGCTCCAGGTGGACCATAATAAATAACCAGCACATTGCTCACTGGTTATTTGGGAGATACCTGTGCCCAGCAAGTAACGTCGATTGTGTTTTTTTTAACAAAGAGTTTTTCCAGCCTCCTCGACTGAACACTTTACAGTATTAAAGACAACCAAAGCAGACCGCAAATCAGCATTATGGGCAATTTAACATCAATATAAAAGGTCATGATGCAAAGCTACAACAGGCACTTTGCTTTTCAAATGCAGAATTCTAACTTTCCTTGCAAAATGTAAGTATCAGACCAGGGCATCTTAAATTTAAAATCAATTTTCAACTTTTTTAAATAAATGTACTTTTAATATTATGAGTTTAGCATCTATTCAATGGGTCTAATTTGTGGTATTTACCTTCAAATTCATTGACCTTTTATGGAATATTTATGGTGCAGTTTAGCTGCCTATGTCACATTCAGATCATTTCTAATCAATTATACTTTGAAAGTATTTTGCGATGTTTACTTTTTGTGAAAGGTGCTATATAAATGATTTTTTTATGGATTTCCATTAGAATTTTACATTAACTTGCAAAAGTTGCATCCTTAAGTAGAATGAAGTTACCACAATATATCAGGTTGATACGATATTCATCTGATTACCAGAAAACACTGCAATTTATACGATTCACATTACTATGAAGGAATCCCTTTACAAAATACTGAAACTTAGATAATACATTACAAATTACAACACAAATTTACATTTATATAGCGCCTTCCACAAAGCTTTGGAACTCTCTCCCTCAACCCCTTCGCATTGCCTCCTCCTTTCCCTCTTTTATATCATGACTGAAGACCTTCCTTCTTGAGCGTTCTTATAGTCACCTCTTCCCTTCCCCCTGGTTCGGTGTAAGGTTCTGCCACTGTTAAGCACTCCGAGATCCTGCCCCGTGTGAAGGGTGCTATATAAATGCAAGTTGCTGTCCTTATTTTCATTGGGAGGACATCCCAAGTTGCTAAACATTTCTGGCTTGACACCTGACTGTGTGGGGTGGGGGAATGGTAGAGTGTGGGAGCTGAGGGGCGTGGGGAAGGGAAAGATGATCGAAGGCACGGTCAAAGAGACACCAATGTTTGAATAACAAACAATGACACACATTTGCAAAAGGATTAGGATGTGTAGAATCTGATTTTTTTCAGTCATAGTCATGTTTTCATATTGAAGTGAAAGTGAGGAAAACTTTTTTTGGAGTAACTAAAATAAAGTTGTGCAGCATTTTTTTTACACAGAAGAAACATCAACTTAACCATTCTGTTAGGAAACTGAGACAATTATTGTTTTTTTTCCTGAACTCTTTCATGTTGTTCTAGTTATAGAAAAGGCAGGCCAGGCAATGTTAATTCATAGATCTTGGGGCCCTCAACTTTTCGTCAATGCATCACATAGTGGGATTTTAGCGTACATAATTTACAGTATTGAAATGTTTTGTTTCACCGTGAGTTAATTTCAAAGTTGATAATTTCCACTTTCTCTGTTGTGTACACCACTGCCCTTAAGACGTTGACTAAAATGCTGAAAATGGTTATTGAAATGATTTACAAAACAATCCATGCTTCTTAGTACAGCATTAATTTGGGGTTGAATATGGAACCCCAAGTAATAGCCCCAGGCCTGTCATCATAATTGAGGGAAAATGGCATCCTTCACACATCCCTTGTTTTGTTACTGACGGGAACCAAAAATACAGAGGAAAATTGGAGGGAAATATCCCTTTAAGATGTCATGATTTTATAGTGTCAGTGGAGGAGACAATCTATCAACCACCTGGCTATGTTTTAGTTTTATGATGGGTTCCCTAAGGATTTAGCTCAATTTGTGAAGCATTTTTGAGCCTGTGAGGTTTATTTCTCAGTACAAAAAAGGTACTGTCCCAACAGGCAAACAATTAGTGGAAATGACTGTCCAGATTGGATTTATTTGCTGGTGGATGAAAGACATCTTGGGTGTCAGATGTGGATGGGGGTAAGAACTGCCTAAGTAGAATGCCAGATAATATATAACTAATTGACGACAAGAGTCTAAGTCTTGGTAATCTTAAGATCTAAAAGTGAAGGCACACTCTTCCATAATTGGAGAGTGAAGTGCATAATAAAAGATTAAATATTGGGTACATAATTTTTGTGCAGAAGGCTATTGAGGTCCCAGACAAGGACACAGCATGATCAGGCATGGCATAATTCCCAAACTGCCTTCATACAGTGTGATTTCAAAGAATGTTCTCCCAAAGAACATACAGAGAGTTCATCACGGGAAATTGTAATGATGCCATCTTGGTGGATGGTTTCTCAGATACTTAGAAATAAGTTTAGCACAGCTTATGGAAAGCTCCAATTTAGCAGATATACGTTATGTATAACTGTGCTGTCAATTAGAGGTCAGTTGGATCCATTTGGAGAACCTGGCTTGACAACTAAGAGAAAGTCACTTGTGAGATAGTGAGTTTGGGAGGTACTGCCAGCCAGGATAACCAGAACTTTGGCTAATAAACCCAGGAGGGATTACTTTTGTCTCTCTGCTTTGACTTTCTTCAACAAACACCATTAGAATTGGGGATGGGGCAGGAAGAAACACACGCATATATCTATTTTGAAGAGAAAAAAACCCATATTGATACATCTTTAATATTTGGAGCCAGAGAAATTTACAGCACCGACAAAGGCCATTCAGGCTGATGATAAATTGCAGAGAAATCTATTTCCATGCAACCTCGAGTTCTACTTTGAATACAAAAATGGATGTTATTGTCCAAATAAAAACACAAAGATTGTGTTCTGCTGCAATGTGATCTTCTGGGTTTAGGGAGTATACTTGGAGGTAAGAAGATTTTTTTTAACCTAAAATGTCATGTCCTACCTTGACTCTAATTTTAGAATTATAATGATAATAATAATCCTCGCACTTGATATAGCGCTTTATCATGCCTTTGAGACATCTCAAAGGGCTTTGCCGAATATACTGTAAAGCGAAATGACTGTATATTTGGAATTCTGTTATTTGACAAACAAACTGAGGTCCTGGAATGCACTAAGAATATAGTGATATCTATTCTAACTACCTCTTGACAATGAAGCCTCAAGAGCACATTACCCAAATAAGGATAGATGTGAATGTATGGCAAATGTAGATGGGGTTCTGACTAAGGCTGTGTTGTGCTGTGTCCTGAAGTGCCCATAAAAACCTTAGGTTCAGATGGTAACATTTGTTCCCCCCAGTTTGCTCATCAAAGGGTCTAGCCAAGAGATTCTTTGTTAGATTCCTGGGGGATTAATGAGAGGTGCTTAATGGTGGAGAAAAATCCCTCAGGCAATTAACCTTGCTTTTAGATCTGGGACTAGACACTGCTACATATTTTTGCAGTGAAGTGCTTCAGGGATTATCTTTCAGCAAGTATTGGTTCTTGAACAAAGTATTGGTGACTTGTGACAACAGCAGGAAACTCATTGGTTTGGAATTCAGCTCAGTAAATTTATTGGGTGTCAGGCTGGCTCAGTTGGTGACACTCACTTCTCAGTCAGAAGGTCATGATGAGTTCAAGCCCCATCTTGAGATTCTGAATTTGTGGTCTAGGCTGACACTGGAAGCGCATTGTCAAAGGTACCATGCTTCAGATGAGTCACTAACTTTACAGTAAATCCTGTGAAGCAGTTTGAGACGCTGAGACACATGATAACGCACTATATTAAATACAGAATTATTATTATTATTTTCATTTGCACTGAATTCTGGAAGAGGCATGTGTATTGCGAGTCCGGCCGTCTGAGCTCATAATTGGACAGAAGGGATTGCTATTTTGGGCATACCCTTTAGCATTGTATACTAGTATGGAAGCACTAAGGTTTTATGAATAGCACATCCATGGAGAAACTAAGCTTTGTGAAATGTATCTATTTAGGCTGGAACAGGGCCTGGTTATGTAGATCCTGCCATGTAACTTTAGAAATGGAGGAAAGGGAGGGTGGATTTTAGGACAATTTAGAACTGAGATCAAATATGTAGATGTCTGAGAGATCATTTACAACTCTGGAATAACAGGTCTGTACTGACTTTTCTTCTCTGTCCTTTAAGCACAGCTATTTAAGCCTCGATCCATGAGATGCTGCCAGACAGTTGACGTCCCAAGAGTAAATCATGGCAGTTGGGATCTGTAGAGGGTCTCAGGTCCATTGCGTAATTTCCATTTGTTTAAACAACCACAAATACATACAAAGTTGTTCTGACAATTCCATTCCCATCAGAGGCATTGTCCATAAACTGTTATATCAGAGACTGTAAGATGTTAGTTGTAAAGTGAGGCCTGTATTATGTAAAATATTATAATTTAACAGGGCCTGTGAACATTTGATTTTAAAATAATATATCCTCCTTATAGGGAGGTAATCAGGATTATTCTGGGGCTGAACTAGTTTTGGAGATGTGTCGAGAAAAAACAAGCAGGTCCATCCTAAGCCAGGATACCCTTGAAGGTTTAGACAAGCCATTCACCCTGCAAACCAAAGCCTGTGGTGCATGTTGGGTGAATCTTTTTTTTACTCCAATTATTTTGAAGGAACTATCCGATGCAGAAGCATCTCATTTGTTGGCCGTCTGTTCCATCCTCTGTATTATGTGCGCGTGTGTATGTGCTTGGGGTGGGGAATGATGACTTTTGATCCCAGTTTTCTTCTTAATCAGCAACATATCTGACACATTAGGAAACCCACCACAGTTCAGCTCTTACTGATGAGCCAGGCTTGCTGATCTGTCATCAGCAGTATGCTCGAGTACTGTGAACCTGCCTGGCTCAGGAGTTGAACTACAGAGAGGACTCTGTAATCAATCATGTCATCTCGAAGCCTGTTCAGCACCAATGAGACCCTGCTCACCTCCCCCCAGGAGGATAGTCACGAATAGGGTAGCTTGTGCTTTGTAAGCTACCTTTATGTTCTAGTAGTCGAAGTCCAATGCTGCCTGCCAGGCTTGCTCAACGACAACTCTTAATCAATGTCCTCATGTGAGGGGCTTTGGCAAAAAAGTGCATCTGCTGTGACTGACAGGGTGTCTAGTAACAAATCAGTCTGGTTGGAGCCCTCTCCCTGCAATTACCCGACCTGCCCCTAAAACTCTCCGAACCCGTACACAACCTAGGCATCAGGCTCGACCCCCAATTATCCTTCCTCCCCCACATCCGGTCCCTCACCAGCACTTTTTTCCACCTCTGATGCATCGCCCGTCTCCACCAATATCTCACCCCAAAAGCCGCCGAAACCCTGGTCCATGCCTTTGTCACCTCGGCTGGACTATTCAAATGCCCTCCTCGCCGGTCTCCCATCCACTACCATTCATAAAATCCAGGTCATCCAGAATTCTGCTGCCCGCATTCTTACCCGCACCAAACTCTGCTCCCCAATTACCCCAGTCCTTGCCAGACTGCACTGTCTGCCTGTCCCAAAGAGGATCGATTTCAAGATCCTCGCTCTTGTTTTCAAATCCCTCCACTCCTCTGCACACCCCTACATCTCTGACCTCCTCTCTCCTCACAACAATATTTCCCTTGGTGACATCATCTGCAGACATGGGGTCAACTTCCACATGTATGCGGATGATACCCAACTCTATCTTTCTGCCTCCACCCTCAACTCCAGGACCACTGCTGTCCTGACAGACTGCCTGTCGGAAATTAAGTCCTTGATGAGGGCAGATTTCCTACAGTTGAATGTGAACAAGACTGAGGCCCTCTTGATTGGCTCGCGCCACCGCCTCAGCACCTCAGGCTTTGGCAACATCAACCTCCATGGTTCCACACTACAACTCACCAAGCCAGTCAGGAACTTAGGTGTCTTGTTCGACCCTCAACTGTCTTTTCTTCCCCACATCCAAGCCATGACCCGCTCTGCCTTCCCTCACCTCCGTAACATCACCCGACTCCGCCACTACCTCACCCCTCAGGCCGCTGAAACTCTTGTTCATGCCTTCATCACCTCCAGGCTCGACTATGCAAACGCCCTGCTTGTCGGCCTTCCCAACTCCTCCCTCCACAGGCTGCAGATAATCCAGAACTCTGCAGCCTCTCCCGCACCAAACTCTGTGACCCCATCTCCCCCACTCTCGCCCGACTTCACTGGCTCCCTATCCTTCACAGGATCCAGTTCAAGATCCTGGTCCTCACATACAAAGCCCTCCATGGCCTCACCCCACCCTACCTCTGCGACCTCCTAACGCCCTACCAACCCCCCCATTCCCTCCACTCAGCCGGCTCTGGCCTGCTCCACATCCCCCGACCCACCCGCCCCACCATTGGCCGGAGAGCCTTCAGCCACCCTGTCCCTAACCTCTGGAATTCCATCCCCCAGTCACTCCACCTCGTCTCCTCCTTAGCCTCCTTCAAGTTCCGCCTCAAGACCCACCTCTTCGACCATGCCATCAGCCACCCACCTTCCCCTCTCTTCCCCACCCAAACCCAGCTCGGGTCTGAAATGCTGTACTCTGTTCAGCGCCTTGGGATGTCCTCCCGACGTGAAAGGCACTATACAAATGTAATCTTGTTGTTGTTGTTGTTGCCTTTGCTCCACCGAGTCTGGCCTCCTCCTTGTCACCTGAATCCTCCGCTCCACCATCGGCGGCCGTGCCTTCAGCCACTGTGCCCCAAGGCTCTGGAACTCCCTCGGCCCCGGGATCCGTTATTGTGAAGCGCTCTGAGACACTGTACAGCGTGGTGGGTGGTATATAAATCCAAGTTGTTGTTGTTACTTTCCCTTTTGCAGGCTATATTGTACTTTTATCATATATGGTAAAACACTGCTAGCAACCTGCTGCATGAATAAAATGGTGCAATCATTTGTATAGATGTTGACTACCAATACCTGAAGTGAATTTTCATGCTGATCCTTGAGACAGTGGCATATAGGTCTTCAGGTGAAAAGTGGAAATTAACCTGTATTCCAGTGATGGCATTACTGTCCTCTAAGAGACCTTCTCTAGAGATTGAGGAACAGCGGTGGCCAGAACTAGTCATGCATATTTTGGAACAACTATACTGGTATAAGTTTGCACAATAAATGAGGTGGTATCCCAGCAAACATGATATGTCTGTATTGATCATGCCTTGTTTTGCTCTGTTGCAGGAAGCCGGGAAACTGCCTTTACATACTCTATATCAGCAGCTGGTGTTGTGAATGCCATAAGCCGGGCTTGCCGTGAGGGGGAACTCTCAACCTGTGGATGCAGCCGTGCTGCTAGACCTAAGGACCTGCCTCGCGATTGGCTATGGGGAGGCTGCGGGGACAATGCTGAATATGGTTACAGATTTGCCAAAGAATTTGTGGATGCCAGGGAGAGGGAGAAAAACTACCCAAAAGGCTCGTTGGAGCACTCTAGGACGCTGATGAACTTGCAGAACAACGAAGCTGGCAGGAGGGTAAGAAATAGCTTTTTGGGTCTGTTTTTTTCATTTAGTTCACATCTTGGGGCATGAATAATTTTCCATCTGTTTCCCAAAAGCCTTATCTGTCTTTCCAGCTGCCTGCCCAGCCACCCATCTATTTTGATGTTTACTCGATGATCCCATCTGCAATCCTTATTTACACATGCACCCAACACAGTAGAAAACAGGTCACAGGTTTAGAGTAACAAAGGACAATTTTAGGCCGGATGCCTATTTCTTTACCCTGAAGATAATTAACGAATGGAACAGGTTACCAGGAAGGTTAGTGGAGACCAGGATGTTGGACTCATTTTTAAAAAAAAGCTTGATGCTGGTAACATGGTTATTCTGGAAGAATGAGATCAAATGGGCCGAAGGGCTTTCTTCATTCCAAATTAATTTTGCCACCTGTAATAAATCTGTCTTTCTAACTATGTCAGTCTATTAATTTATGAAATCTTTCCATTTCTCTGTTCAGAATTTCTACCTCCTCTATTTCAGTCTACATTAATGCATAATAATTCATCGGTTGATGGACAGGGTTTTGACTTTTTTTTCTCCACCAATTTTCTTCTTTAATCATCTCCCATCCATAATATATTTTGACTCAAGTTTTCTTCTCCTGGGGCATGGTTCCAAGGGTAACATTTGCCCTGGGGTGCCTTACTAAGCCAACATTATTTCATTTCTGAGTCTTAACAGTGAATAACAGGCAATATAGCCATGGGAGCATCAGAACTGAGCTTGATATTGCCCTTACGAGACACCCCCAAATCCACATCTTCTAGTTAGCAATCAGGAGTAGGAACTATGGCTGGTTTTCTCTTTCTGACCCAGGCATACTGAGACTAATTTTAGCACCCAAATTGCTGCCTGGCAGAAATTAGCAAACCCAGTTTCAAAGTGGATTCGAACATGCAGCCTTGCTGTCGTGATGAGGCGCTATATCAAATGCAATGATTCTTATATTATTATTTGGCCCAGTGTTGCACCTATTATGCCTTCAGCGTAGCTCAGTGGATAGTTTTATTACATTATCAATTGTAATCAGATAAAATGCTGTTGGCAAACAAGAGAACCCTGGTTAGATTTCTGGCTGGGTGAATCTTTAGGCAAGTTTACTTACTCCACACAGCTCTGTTCACCTAGTAGTAAGTAGGAACCCGATTGTTAGTCAATTAGTGGATTGTTTTCCGTGGATAATAATCCCTCATTTGGTCACTCAATCCACGACTGTTTGTGGGACACTGCTGTGTGCGATTGGCTGCCACGTTTCACCCACAAAATACACAGTCAACTCACTTTACAATATATTCTAGGAAGTGCTTTGAGACATCTCAATGACTTGATAATGCGCCATATCAAATGCAAGGATTATTATTGTATTATCATTTGGCCTAGTGTTGCACCTACTATGCCTTCGGCATAGCTCAGTGGACAGTTTTATTGCGTTATTAATTGCAGTCAGATAAAATGCTCTTTGTAAGCTTTTAATTATTTTATTAATTGAAAATGTATATAGATCACAGTTTCCATAAGAAACTCAGCTGTTTGAACAATTTTGAAAACGCGCTAAGTGATCACCAGTGTAAACAAGTACTCACTAGCCAGCCTATTTTATTTAGTTTTCTATTTCTAGGTATCTGTCAATCTATCAACTTTCAGTCTTCCCTTATCACGGTATTTTCATTTAGAATGACATATCTTTGTGTCTTCAATTCACTTTTTTGTTGGGCACTAAAGAGATGAGGATGCATGCAAAATGCCAATCTTGTTTCCTCTTCAGAACTTTGGAGATTTCTAAAAGTATCGCATTTATAGGAATGTTTTACATTCCTATAAATCTGAGGAGTACATACTGTGATGCCTCTTATAAAAGCAGTTTTGTTATTCTTCAATTAAATCTAGTTCCTTTTGAACCAGTATACAACTTAAGAGTTGGCTTGTTGCTAATGTTAACCATCTGTCCATTAGAGATGCAAACAGAAAGGATAACAGGACTTAAAACACCAATACGTCGACTTGTTCTATTAATGCAAACCTGTCTTAACATACCCATACTCTATTGTAATAGAGCTCACCATTTAATAAAATATTGTTCATGAAAAGAAAAATAGTATATTATAACATTTGCAAGAAACTGGTATTTTCTTAAATTAAAAAAAACTAACTTGTAATAAATAAAACTTACTCTAAGATAGACATAATTTTATTTTATGCTATCATCCTGGGGGGGGGGGGGGTGGGGTGGGGGAAGGTAAGCGTGGTCTCCTTGGACCTGAACTGCTCTAAGCTGATATGTTTGGCAAAAATTACTGGAATCAAGAAGGTCCTCTCTGGCTGAACCAATAGTCTGGTTCCTGAGCCAGGCGGGTCTGCAGTATTCCAGAGCACTGCTGATGACAGCACAGCCAACCTGGCTCATTGGCAGGACTTGGAAGGGTAGATCAGTCACTGGGGGAAGGGAATCCTCCCACTCAGCTCCTATTAACCCTGCAAGCCAAAACTCTAATGAGTAGGGTGGTCCTAGTTGGACAAGCAGTGGGAAAGCTTGCCAGACAGTTGTATTTTATGTTTTTGTATTCTTTGGAATCTTTCTGCATTTTCAGGATACTGAGTTGCCTGAAAGTGGCACAAGAGTTTTGAATTCTGTATAATATTCCTTGACTTCAATAATGATCAATGACCTAACTATAAATCAATTTATATATGAATATCCTACCATCTAGCTAACAATACTTTTTATTGTTCATCTGAAAGACTGTGTGTCAAGAGAGCAGTATATTTTTATAAATGAAGTTTTGTTGCATCAAGTGCTGGCATTGTGTGCAGTAAAATACCTTACTTTATTCTGGCAGTTATACAGATTTAAAAGTAAGCACAAGAGGCTATAATGGCTGGAACCATCTTGATGTTTTACTTTATGTATAAAAATTAAAAATTAACCTGTAAATGTAATTTGATTGAAATAAATGCTAAATTCTAGAGAAAATTCACCGACACAAGAATATTTATCTCTTTCTTGAAATATTCCTTTGAAGCACTCACCAAATAATGTACTAAAACTGTCACACTATTAGCTTTATTGAAGCACCAACATAGGATCTCTGAAACTGCAATTCAATATTTCACTTTGTTTTATTATTATCCTTGTTGGTTTTGGAAGGAATGACCAGAATGGAATAACCACATTGTAAGGCCTGGGCGTCAGCTAGAGTAGAACTAAGCACTCAGTAAGGCCTCTCACTAAGGTGTAGCCAGAATAGAATCAGCCTGTTCTGATAAGACAAAGTATGGAGTTGGGAACTCAAGAAAAAAAGAGAAAAGAAACCACTTGTTTTCTATGATTCACAGCTCATTTATTATGGACATATATATTTTCATGTTGATACAATAGATAATACTCCCAATCCCCAGCTCGAATGCACATCCTTGATGGTCCAGTGTTTCGGGATGTCCTCCCAACGTGAAAGGCGATTTACAAATGTAATTTGTTGCTATACTATGCTTAACGTAGAATATGTCACGTGGTAACAGTATCAGAGTTCGTAGGCAGCAGACAAGGATTCTCTTGGTAACTAAGATTGAATTCTAAGGTAATTTGTAGCATCTGTACAGTTTGTAAAACTCTCTCGAATTTGTAAAGTTTGTTGTAATAATGATCCTTGCATTTAATATAGTGCCTGATCACGTCGTTGAGACGTCTCAAAGCACTTCACAGAATATATTGTAAAGTGAATTGACTGTATTTTGTGGGTGAAACACGGCAGCCAATTGCGCACAGCAGTATCACACAAACAGTCGTGGATTGAGAGACCAAATTTTTTTTTTTGTAACTGAAATGTATACCTTTTTAAATGATGGGATTTTTAAAAAATTTTCAAATGGTATCTTTATTCTTTATGTTGTCAGAGATTGAATTCGCTCCAAAACTGACTCCAACCTGAACCCAATGTGCGACATAACCTCAAACCTTTCAGTGCCTGGCTTCAGTCTGGCATTGCTTCAGCTACTGAGCAACTGCTCTCAGAAATTTCATCTACTAAACCCAAATTAATTTGTAGGTGGCTTGTCTTCTTGCTTGAACCTCTGAACCTTGGGCGGCAAGTCTGCCGGCCCTCGTAAAGAAGAATGAGTGATGTCTACATTACTTTTATATCCCAGTTGTTTACCGCGTTATCAGTAGCTGTTCATACTTTGTCTAGCAAGAACATGTCCCAACACAAAATGAAAACTGCAACTCACTATTTCTGTTTTAATAAAATATTAACAGAATTCAGCACAAGCCTAAATCTAGTGCTGCAAAGAAAATTAAAATAAAAATGCTCTGAAATAGATCAGTGGGCAATTAAGAGAGAAATTCGTGAAAAATAATTATGTATAGAAAGCTAAAAGGGAGTAGGGAATACAAGACTATATAGAAGCAGGTAAAGATGAGATTAGAAAGGGACATGGCTGGAGGTCCCAGAGGTGGTCTCAGACGGAACTTCCTACAGAAAAATAAGACACCTAAAAAATGAAAGAAATTGTAAGCACAAAGCAATGTGTTTAACTGTACCGGGTCAGTGAGACAAAAGGGCTTTGGTTGTTAAGGAGAAATGTAGCACATAGCACAAATGCTTTCTTTCCACAGAGGCAATTCATGCGTCAGGCAACTTGGAAGGGTGGTTCCCTTGAAATCAAGACTAATTTAAAAAACATCTTAATACTATAATGGGAAAATAATGTGGTTGATATATTGGAGTCTAATGGGTTGAAAGACTTTTTGTCTGAACCTCTCATGATCTTGTGAGGACTTTACAAACATAATAAAACAAGACCTATGGCACAATAACCAAGCACAATAATTTAAAAATGCAGAGTACAATTTGTTCCAATGAAACATAAGAGGGGTCGCATGCAACAGAAAGAAAACTGCAATAGGCCTGTCTTATGAAAAACAAAGCAATCTCAACACAGCATCTCTTAAATTGAGGCTAGGATATTAATTGAGG